CTTGTATCATAGTAGAGAGCTGCATGATCATCAACAACCGCAAGCAAGGCAGTGGGCAATCACCCCTAGCTCTGGTGAGAGACACACGCAAACAGCTACACCTGATATAAGATCTTATCAAGGTCGGTTGCTTGGTGGTTGGGGGTTGCTGGTTTTCAGTGCTAGGATTTAGGACACCACATGTCGTGATGAAGGGTTTCTGGAATCCCACACAGCAACACCAGTTCATCAACCATGCAGGTCTGAAACATATTTAATGAGCACTGCAACTACAGGTCCCTATCTCTGATAGCTGGATTAACTTAGAAGTAGTTGAAATCATGTTAACCCTTTGTACAACTGGCAGACTCCCTTTGCAGTTTTGATCCATGATACGCCCGCTCGAACTCCATGATCGCAAGAGTGGCAGCTGTTTTGTCATCCAGCAGAGACTGGAAAGAAAACGTGTTGCAATTCGCACCTGACAACTCTCAGCAGGACAACAAAACACTGCAAGTAACAAACACGTCACGTACCAAGCTGGGAAAAACATATCATCTTAATTTTGCCAGGTGACGAAGGGGGAGCTGTGCAGGCAGAATACCATCTCTGCTAAAGCCCATCTTTGCCAGAATTGCGGCCCGAAAAGGATTGGGCACCGTGTCTCGCCCTGGCACCATCGAATGTGCACCATGCAGCATCCCTTGCCAGTACCTTGGGCAAGCAACTCACAAGATTTTGAAATGTGGTCTACAGGCGCAAAAAAGAAACACTTCAATCTGAATCAATGACAGCTATCGATACTTGTATGCAAGACACGTATCGAAAAGGATGTGAAAATGAGTCAAGTGCTAAAGTGATGCTACATGTGCATACATGTGCCAAGTGAGTGATTTGCATGATGCGAGACTGACTTGTAAAAAAAAGGTACTCCACGCGGTTTTTCTTCATTGCTTCCTCCTCTTCGTGCGTTGGCGGCGTGCCATCTTCATGGTTCCTGGCAACAAATTTGGAATCTTCCATGGCACCAGCAACAAAGTGCTCGGTCAGGGCGAGCAAGTCCTGCCACACTGTGGTTGCAGGTCGGTATCCACCTGGATCTACTTGGATCCCAAGGAAAACATAGGAAAACACATATCAGTAAAAGGTAGTATAAGTATGTATAAGCTGTATAAGTACAATTAAGTATAATGGCGAAGAGTGAGAGTACAAACAACCGAGGATCTTCTCTAGTTTGAATCAGTTTGCACTCCAGCTGCTGATGCAGAATGCATTTGTAGCTGCACGGTTTTGCAAGAGATGATCGCATCAAGTCTTGAGTGAAGATGTAGCAATGAAATGTAAAAGCGTTCTGGAAAGGCTGCTTACTGCTTACCTGCAAACTAACGCGTGCATCCTGGACCTCTTCAGTGTCAGGCAAACAAGTTCAACCCTGCATTTTCTACCTGTGTTCGGTTCTGAACCGCTAGGCAATTCTGAGTATCGCAAATATTAAGTTGAGACACCTCTCGCGCATGGTATCAAGTCTTTCCAAACCTGCCTCAGTGATGCAGCCCGCATCGAGGTCTGCCATGGCACGAATCGAGCCCGAAGGAATTGCTGGCAAAAGGATTAGCCTGAGCTCTTCTGGATGGAAGGAAACAAGCAAACAATCAACGATTTGAACAGTGCAGCATACATCTGTGGGCTCCTGACTCATTCTTGGTACCCTAGTCTACCAAAAAAAAATGTATGGTGAGGAATTTCAGCCAACATCAAACGCTACTCAACAAGAGGGAAGAAGACTGTACGGCTTTAGTGTTTCCAGACCAGCAAAGCGATAACCTTCAAGCTCGCTGATAAATCCAAAAGACTCCACAAGTGGCATGAGCGCACAAGCAATGCCTGCGTGTCGAAGAGTTCCCGCGTAGGTTGCCAGGGTTCTCAGAGCCATGGCGGCGCAATGCTCACTGGATGCCATATCTATGGCGAACGTCTCCGCAACCTTCATGGCGGTTCCAAGCCCACAGGCGGTAAAGCTTGCACACTCCTCCAGCGAAGACTGGTCCGCCGACAGCGAGGCCGTTGATTCTGTGTGGGACTTCGGCGACAGATTCAACGCCCCTGGAGGCGGAACGGCCATCATCGGCTCTGAGTCGAAATCGTCGCTGTTCCTGGACTGGTTTTGCGAAGTTTCAAGTGACCCTGCACTTATGCATCAACACAATCGGAAGAACGCCCCCAGTCCACAGACATTCCTTGTTCTGTTGAAACCCAAAATAGATATAATGCGCATATGGTATTCTTATCGGAATACTGCATAACAATATGAGTACATGTATAGACTAGATATGTCCACATACAATATCTCTACTTGGACCCACAACACTGTGTATATATATATACTAGAGAGAGAAAGAGAGAGATTGCGTTGTGTATTCACATTCGTTCCCCAATCTTCCTCAAGAATACCGTCCCACAGAATTATTGCTGGATCTTTTGAAAAGCTTCACAAAGGGAGCGCTCGAGTGGTTCACTCCCACATCTGTGGGAGTCAGGGATCCTAGTTTCCAGACCAGACTTCCCACTATAACACCACAGACCATCTGTGTGACGTCTGTGATGTCAAGCTTGATCAGTTCGGCCAGATGGTCCCAAAGGTCCTGCAGCTATCCCAGCTATCCGAGCTATCCGGACCATGGACACCCGACACCCTTGCCAGGGAATAGGCCACTATTGGATTGATCGCATTGACGGTCTGCTTCACAAAAGCCTAGGCCAATTACATCTCTTTGGTACACATAGATTTGGGGATACAAAACCGTGCAACCTGCTCGAGGTCGGTGTTGCTTCTGCTTAAAGAGAATTTGAGAATTCAGATTTTGCAAAAGCCTTATTCTTCGCTTTTCAGAAGGTCGTGTCCCATATTGCCCCCCAACTCTCACTCCTTTGTGGGGTACCGGGAATACAGTCCTCTTCACGGAATGCCCATTTTTGCAAAGCTGGAGCATTCCTGTTTTTGGCTGCTTGTGCCATGTTTGCCCAATTCTGCCACAGCAAAGTGCACAAAGGGGTCGGCAACCTTGAAAATCTGGGATGCAATCGAATGTGCTTAATGACATCTGACTTCATGAATGTTTCAACAAGTGAAGTATGAAACGTCTGAGGGAGCAATGTGCCAATCTCCTGACAAGAAACAAATGGACCAGAAATTCAAGCGTGACAACGCATAAATCTTCCAGCATGACGCCTTTCCTAATCCAGTACAGAGGCATGACATGTCATGTCAAATGTCATGACTTGCCAATAACTCAACCAAGCTTCCTGCACTTTGCCATTTCCAAGGCAGTCCGCAACAGCTGTTCCTCGCCCATCTTCATCTTCGAGAAAAGTGCTAGCATGGCGTTGCGCGCCTGGGTGCGGAGCAGGGCCTCTTCATGGGCCGTGTAGGCCATCGCCACTCTGAGGATCGGGATGTCGCTGTCTGTCATGAGGAATGGCAGCGTCTCCACGTCTATTCGCATGCTGACTGTTTTGAGACAAGAGACGAAGTTCATCCGATTCTCCTGACGCTGAAATACAGATGAATCAAAAAGAAAGAATTGAGTTTGCGAATAGAGCTCTATTGCGAGTCAGATTGATTGAGCCATTGTAACAGAACTTGCTTCGCGCCGCAAGGGGCACAACTTGCACAACTTCCCAGCTCCTCAATGCGAAGATCTGGCTCACGAGACCACAACACATCCAGCTCACGCCCAATGATCAACCGTTGGAAGACATCCTCCTGCGGTCTTTGTCATTCCAGGGATTCCAGAGCAACATCGAACATGTATTGGATGTGGGCATGCGAATTGGTCATTTTGGCGCCAAGCTCCAATCATGAACAACTTTGAAATCATGATGGGAGAAGCAATAGGCGACTTTGCATGTCAATACAGTAGGCATATGATCTCATTTTTCTGCATGTGTGTGAATGTGTGCCCCTGTGTCTCACAAAGCTGTCCTCCACATTCAGCAGGATTAGGCACAGCGACTGCCACGCCTGTGCGCGTATGATCTCGGGAGTTGAGAGCGCCAGCAGTGCTTCTACTAGAATACTCAAGCCCCTCTTCTCCAAGAAAGATGCCACGACTGCATCATCCTCCCTGGCTCCAAACAATGCACGCGCCAGGTCATGCAGGCTTTGGATCACCAGGTTGGCTTCATGGGGCGTGTGGGGCCAATGTTCCTTGAACTCCTGATGTCCATACGACAACGGAAACTTCAAGGAGGACAGCAGTCCCTCCATGCCCTCTTTTGTCAATGTCTCTTGCGACTGCAAAGGCTCATTTGGCTCTTGCAATGACGGCACAGACTCCGCGACGTAGGTGAGCCAGCCGCTAATTGTCTCTAACATAGGCTCGAACATTTCCGCGTAGAGAGACAGGTGTTCTGTCGCAACGCAGTTTATTTGAAACCTGCTTGAGCCCAAGCTGCAAACGAGCACTTGGGTTTCAGCCTGACCAGAAAAGCTCAGAGGCTCAGGCCACGTGAGGTGAAGCCCCGTGGCAACAAAGTCAGAATTTGGAGTTGGATGACATGATTTTCTTGATCCGCCCTTCCTTTGATGAAGGGCCGTTGCCGGCTATAAATCTGAAAGCCCTGAACTAGGGCCTAGGGATACTTATATAGTATCTACCACTCAAGCTACACGCGCATTTATCTATGACTGGTTGGGGCAAATAATAACGCCAGAAAAGGACTGGCTGACAGGATCCTCTGCTTTGACTGGATCCCCTTCCAGCTGTCAAACTCAATCAAGCAATCGCCAGATCCTAGGGGAAATCATGGAGACGATGCTCATTTTTCAATAGCAAATCTCCCCAAGTTTCTAATGGCTACCCTCTGGTAAACTAACATAGCTATTCATAATCACCATTTTTTATGGGAAAATCCACTATAAATAGCCATTTTCCATTGCTATGTTAGTTCACCAGAGGGTATCATAGTATTTCGTCTCTCTTCAGTGAATCCTTAGTGCGTGAATCAAATTAAATCCGGTATCACAGCTCACTCGGCCTTAGAAACTTCTTGCGAACCGCCTGATGGCTACTCAACTCCACTTCCTGCGAAGCTGGTCTGGGTCAAATATACCCAGGCCACACGACAAAGCATTTTCTGACAAGTTGAAGGGATCAAATATGTTGCAAACTGATTTCCAATAGAAGAATATACATAAGCAGTTTGGTAGTTTGGTTCATCCCTCCAATTTAAACCAAAAAGCAAGGATTTTTTTTCTCGTCCAAAACAAGGGAACATGACCCAATGTTCAGTTTCTATGTCAATGTACAAGGGAGTCCCCATGACTTGCATCCGACATGAGATCGTTATTTGAACATCGGTCAGAGAACAATATTTTCACCAGCATACTGGGATATAAATCATAAAGAACCAAACTTTTGGAGGATGAATCAGCAATCTGTGGAGGTTTCCTAAGTCATGATAGTCATGGGGGTACCTCCAAATCATCCATTTTAATAGGATTGTCCATTACAAACCATCCATTTTGTGGATACCCCCATTTTAGGAAACCCTCATGTGATTTTTACATAATTTTACCAATTAGAATATGGGGATGGGTCAAAACTTCACCCAACCATTCCGCGCCTGCAAACACACAACAAAGCCCCGAAAAAAAAAGGGGTGAGAAATGTTGTGGACACCAAAGTAATTATTCCGCGTTCTTTTTGGTGGTTTTCAGCAATCTCAAACTTTGACATACCCGAATCCACTGGAAAGCTGTCTAGCCGAGCCCCGCATTTCACCATATGATCATAATCCCCAGTTCCTGATGAAATCCCAGTTTCAGTCCAAAAAAACAAAACACAATGAAATATCATAACACAACAGTATGATAATATATCTATATAAACATATAATGTGTGTTCATATTTACATGAGGCATAATTAATAGAGATGTATGCATCACATCTCAAGCGGATTTGCCTCCAGTAAACGGCACATCTCCAACGCCTTAGCTTTCAGGATCTTTCAGGTGAGACCGCCAGCCCAGGGGAACAATGGTTGATGGTTGATGGAAAATAATGCTTTGGAATAGATTAACATATATAACATATATAACATATATATCTGGGTAAATTATAATAATTCACTAACCTGAATTAAGGCCATAAAAGGGGATGATTTCCCTTACTAACTATGATTTCCAGTGAGGGAGAACAGTGAGGTCGCTATAATTTACCCAGAATAATGCTTTGGAATAGATTAAGAAACTTGTCATGAAAAAAATAGTTGGAATGATAATGGCTAATAACGGTGAATATTGGCTAATAGATGTTAACAGCTATTATTATCTGTTGACAATTACAGTATTGATGATTAATAATGGCTAATAATGGTCAACGATAGTGGTTAATAATTGGTAATATCTCAACATAGTTAGCAAGGGTTAATTGTTCTGTTAAAATTAGTCAGTATTCAGGTGTTTTATAATGATAAATAGTAGTTCACAAAGTGAATAATGATCATAAATGAGTGTTATCTATTTTGTTGATCCAAGTACCATTGTACCATGTATGTATTGAACAAATAAAACATATTCAATATACGATTTGAATGGTTAAAATACCAATGTGGGTATTGTTTTTTTTTCGAATCAGATTGGTCATCAGATTGTTGAAGAGTCCCATCCCCCTCACATTGAGAACCCTCTGGTAAACAAACATAGCTATTGAAAATGGCAAATTATAGTGGATTTACCCATTGAAAATGGTGATTTTCCATAGTTATGTTAGTTTACCAGAGGGTACCTTCAAAAGATTCAAAGTGTGATGTGTGACCCAATCATCAGGGCTGTGCCAGTCTACTGAGGAGTTTTTTATGTGTTTTCTTTGACGAAAGTGGCCGAGGGCTTGTCTAGAAAAAATTGGGTACCCCATGGTACCCCTAAGTTCGTAGGTTCATCACCACATCTCTACTAAAAAGATGTAGACATAGACATTTTAATACATTTTAGATCATTTGGGGGGTTCATTCCCTATGTTCGTTGCCTCATTGAAACCGGGTGACGTCTCCCAGCCCCCATCAAAACTCGGCCATGCAACGCAGCGATAGATCATGGCGCTCCGCTCCCCAGAGATGTCGTGCCTGCGGAGGCGACCATAGGAGGCTACCATGGGTCCCAGCCACAAAAGGCCGGGGCTGTCAACTGCAATTAGTTGGGTACCCCCAAAAACAGTGATCATATGATACTTAAATGGTACTCCCCAAATTAAACAGCCGTTTGGGGTTTATTATGGTGTATTAATCCAGGAGTGTTACATTACATGAATTCATGTGAAATCATCAAGTTTCGGTTGACAAGTTTAACCCATACCTCTGTAGACTGCAACTGTCACCCGTCTTGCTCCTACTATATAAATCCGTCACGTCATAGCCGTTCTTCATGAAATCCAACTCTACATGTAATTTTATGTAAATAGATCATAATAGACAATAATAATAGATAATATAGATAAATAGATAATAATAGATAATAGATATGTATATATATATATAATATTGTTTATTATCTTTCAGCATTGTTAGATATTCTTAGTGATGCCCCCACAAATTGTTGGTTCTCAGTGAGAGTAGCCGTTCATATCCCACTGAATCCCAACTTTGATGCTTGAATCCATCTTCATATCTTCCATGACACATATGAAATTCATATACCATAAACATCTATAAATTTCATTAAACCATAAACCTAACGTACCATTAACATCAACTATTAGTCAGTTGGGGAACATCAAAAATGTTCCAAATCACCAACCAGACCATCATAAACCCACCCTATTTGTTTCGACGTAAGATATCTGGTGGCGAATTGTTTCTGGATCGATGGCCCGGGGATCGCCTCGGAACTCGCACCAAAGATCCAAGGAGCCTGGGCCAAAGGCATGCGCCGGGGTCCAGCAGGTCACCAAACTTGGGAAGGGAGATGCATCGAAGCCATGGGTTGGCCATGGGTCAAATTGGGTCAAATTCCTCCTGGAAGTCGGATAGGGGTGCTTTGGCTAGATGGATTTTGATCATTTGAAAAGAATTGGCTGCCAAGATCAAAGAATTTGACCAACTGAACATGGAATACCAGAGGAACCTAACCTGGCTGTGTGACAAGTGACCCTTACCAGCCAAGCAGATATTAATCACGGAGATTACAAGGAAAAAGTCTAGAATCGCCAATAAATTATATATATATATATGAGAGAGATGGAAATATAGATCAATGTGTATATCATTTTTTCGAGACACCATGGATTTTCATGGATTTTCTTCCGTTACAGGGTAACCCATATGCCATAGTCCCGAGATATACCGAGTCGGTCAATGGGGGATTGACCCCATAGTGATGTCCGTAATATATGGTGATATATGGGGGATACCCTCTGGTAATTTGTTACAGTTTGCTATTGAAAATGGCCATAGAAATAGTGGATTTCCCCATTAGAAATTGTGATTTTCCATAGTTTTGTAATGGTACCAGAGGGTAATGATAGTCATCCATTGGAATTGGAGGATAGGAAATCCTTTGGGGATAATGATAATGATATTTCTGGGGATAGTACCCTCTGGTTATCTAACATAGCCATGGTATAGATGGCCCATTTATAGATGGTTTACCTATTAAAAATGGTGGATCCTTCCATGGCAAACTGTTAGTCATAACCAGATGGTAATCCTTCTTTTCAGACCCATCTACCAAGATTCTATGCAATGTGTTGGGAGGATTTTGCTACTATCACTGGCTGGTCTCAATCCATCTGCCCCCCAAAAAAAGGTTCCCAGGTAGGGAGGGAACATGAAGACCAACAGATGTTTGGTGAATTTCCATCTAGTTCAGGTTCCGGTAACTGTTCAATGGTCTAGACTACCCTCTGGTAAATTCAAACATAGATATGGAAGTCCAAATGGTGGGTTTCCACTATGTCAATCTACCATCCAAGGTTTCTATGGTGGAACCAAACCTCAAATCCAGCAGTTTCATCAACAAACTGCCATTTTGAGGTTTGAAAAACATGGTAACCGATGTTTCATTGCAACAATCCATTTTTCAGATGATATATAACTGATGTTTGTTTCAAAATGTTTCAAAAATCCGAAAACATCAGTTATCCTCTGACAATTTAACAGGTTTCCATGGTAGAACAAACCAAAAAAAAGCATAAAAAAGCAGGTTTATTTCCCATAGCATACAGCGAGCCGGTAAATTGCCAGAGAGTACAGACCTAGATATGGTTTGTTGAAAGGGATGGGGGTTGTGATATTCCCCATTATATTGGTTAGTATAGTTTATCCCCGAACTATTCATCAACCAACCATCATTGTTGATCAATTATTTATAATATATATGTATGAATAAATATATATATATAATCATACATATCTCAGTTATATCCCCATATTTTGATGCTTGACTATAAAATGACGAACTCATCAACCAAACGGGGGCCAGCTGGTTCACAACCAGCCGGCGTCCAGCAGGCCCAATTCGCAATGCCGACCTGGAACTCACCATGGTCGCGGCAGCCACTTGCAATGATGGGGGGAACCTAGCGACGAACCGTTTTTTTGGCGACGGAATGTGGCTCCCAAATGTGGTAAAGCCTAGTCACTATCGGGGGGCTAGGTCCGGCTAGGTGGGCATCGCCCATAATTTCACTGCTTCTGCTGACAAATCTGGTATCAAGGTTTCCTCACCAAAAGAAACTTGGACCAAAATGGTGATGTGGGAGAGATATGGAAACATACATTTAAGTTGAATGTTAAACACCAAAATGGTGATGTAATCAACCAAACGGTCGATTGTAGGTCAACCCATTGGTCAAGGATTGCATCTCCCATATTAAGCTGGGCAAACCGGGTAAACCAAGATGAAAACCTCCAAGGTTGGACTGCGACTGTCGACTCCTCAGCTATCTTCCACTGGGTTGCTTAGGAAAATCGACACCACCACACACCATGGCTTTTGCCATGGCTTTTGCCATGGCTTTTGCCATGGCTTTTGCCATGGCTTTTGCACTTTAATTGATGGGTTTCCTGTGAACGTCAACTGAAAATGTTCCCCTCCGGGACCGCAGGCCTCAGCATTTGGCTGTCCACCAGCGCCAGTTCTAGGAGATACTGCGTCAGAAAGCCGTGCTTTTGCAGCATCTGCAGGGGTGTCCGAGACAGGACCATGAAGGAGATCTTACCTTTCCCGTGTCCTTTAAAGCGCTTGAAATGATAGGATCCAAGTACATGCCCATGTTTGTTGGTGATATCCTTGTGTTACCTATTTTTGCAGGGGCCAAGCACATCAAATAATATATATATATATGTATATTGATAGTTGCTTTATACCAAACTCATTAGGACTGATTGGTCTGAACATACTGGGTTGCATGTTGTGTCTACACATCTGCACGAGCCGCGCTCACTAATGGTTTACATTCATAATTATAATTTGACAGTGATGGAACATGTACTCAGATATATATATATATATGTTTGATCATGTCATAATGTGTCATGTGTCTTGTTCCTATCATAGAGCGGAGCACCAGTGATGTTTTTTTTTGTGGGGCCAGTGTGCAAAGCTTCAGCTCCCAATGCAGCACATTGTCATGGCATGTCAAGGCTCGTCAGACTTGATGTGGGGGTTTCTGAAAATCTAGGATCCAAAAAACCATGCTGGTTGGTGGTATACCTACCCCTCTGAAAAATATGAGTTCGTCAGTTGGGACGATGAAATTCCCAATATGATGGGAAAAATAAAAAATGTTCCAAACCACCAACCAGGTTTCATCAATACGAAGTCATGGTCTAATGACCGGATGATTTGGGGTACATTTTAGGAAACCTCCGAAATTGAATTTCCACCTTCCCCACAAAGGTCAATTAAGCATCAGATGCGGCCCCCCCAAGATGCACCATGTGGGTTTGCCCAAAAATGCAATACCAAACTCCAGTGGTTTGGTAACCTCATGTTTCCAATAATGAAACCAGAAACTACGACTAATGATGGGCAAACCATGAATTCCACCATTCTCAAACAAACCCAAATCGATCGTAACACAGCTATGGAAAATCACCATTGTTGAGTTCGGTAAATCTTGGTTAAATTAGCAGATGGCGACACCCACTGGAAAGCCATTGTGGTAAGCCCAAGGCCATAAACCGTCCCCAAGTCATCCCTATTCTTATGGGTGGTACGTTTACCATCCCCAAATGGTAGGTTTATGGCATTGGGTTTCCCACACTCCTCTTATAATGTACAGTAAGTATTAGTTTATCATAGTTAGATCCACATCACACAGCTTAGTTATAATAGTACGATATAAGTTGTTTAAGAATATTTAAGTTAAAATCAAATTAAACAATTATGATCAAATTGTGATATACTTTCCTGTAATCAAACGTGGTTTGCTGGGAAAAATCCTCCATTTATAATCGATGTTCCTATGAAATCAATTGAAATCATCCATGGTTTTGCCGTGCCCATCTCACACCTTACGGCTGAAGAGCCTCTGTGGCGACCTGGCGATTAGGATGGTGGCGATGGGTCCAGTTATTTGGGTCGCCAAAAAGATGAAATGGTGCAATGTGTTGTTTGAGATGTCAAGGGATCAAAAGATATTACATTTAAAAAAAAAAACATATCAATTGATGTCAATCATCCAGATGTGATATCTTCACTGAACCATAAACAACTATCAAATCATCCAGATGCTGCAGATTCAGTACTTGGATGTCCCACTGACCAACTGGAGTACGTTACCACCCTTTTTCTTACTGGGGATGCATCCCAGTTACTTCAAGCAATAGCATCAGGGAGCAATATTGCACCAATTCCATGAACGCATATACCCTCTGGTAAACATACAAAAGACTAAGGAAAATCACCATTTTTAATAGGTACATCAACTATAAATGGGCCATTTTTAATAATTAGCTATGTTAAATTTCCAGACAGTAGGTGTCCCAAAAAAAATGCCAAAAGTTACGAAACCTGGAAATGATCAGGGGAAGACATCATCGAACACACACCCTGGAAACATTTTTTGGCATCTCTTTGGGGTTTGCGATATACAGTTACAATTCATTGCCTGCCATTGCTGACTCATAAAAACTTGGGTCATGATACCCTCTGGTAATTTAACGTAGCTATTGAAAATTGCCATTGAAATAGTGAGTTTTCCCATTAAAAATGGTGATTTTCCATTGCTATTTTGACATAACCAGAGGGTACCTGTTGATTATTGCAACATATATCCACACGCTTTGCTGGTTACATCCCTAGAATTTTGCTTTCCACATCACCGCATAGTTTTCCCATCCGAGCTTGCATCTCCATGGAAGATTTTTGAAAAAACCCTAGGATTTTACCAAGTGTTTTTGAACCTCTAAAAACTCTCCAGAAACATCCAAAAAGAAAACATGTTGGTTGCAGTCCTAGATGTTTTTTCATAGCCATGGTCAAGTTTCAGGGGATGGTCTATGATGTCATTCAAGGTCGTTCATGCCATTTTTTGGGAATCCCAATGAAAATGCTTTGATGACCATTCGCCGATTGATGGGGTGTATATATATATAGGCCAGCTCTTGGTTCTAGTATGTTCTAGTTGATTGCATATACATGAGATATGAAAAATGAGTACGGCTCGAAAAACGGGTAGGGATCGTTCCGGAGTGATCCATACATATGGAACAAAGAAGTTACACAAATGATGATCTCAAATGAATTATATATGTCCCTTCACAACGGTGTGGATCGGGGGTATTGATCAGGGGTATGGATGGGCATGTGTATGGATCGGGGCTTTAAATTCTGAGCCGCGGCCACATATATACAGCATATATATATGTGTGTGTGTGTTTGCATACATTAATGTGTATATATATACTGTATATATACACATATGCCATGCTATTGCCATAAATATACCATTAAATCCCAACTTTGATGGTTCAATCCATCTTAATATCCCATGGCACATATGATTCATATACAACAAAAAAACTACCAGAAAGGCCTGTTGCCAGCACTGAATCACCAATTGTTTATATATATATATATTCATATGTATATATATATATATGATTATATGTTCATTGTTTGTTTGTCAATATATTACATTATCTGGAAAAAAAGAAAAACGTGTTTTTTGTTGTCCATACACAAGCCTTGTCTATTGGAAATACAAGCTAAATTGGTTGAAACCACACAAAAACAAAAACAAAAAAACAATGTTTTCCAGACTAGTCTGAACATGGCTAGATCCAGGTAGTCCCCAAAACATAGTGTTGTTTTTTATGTTGTTTTGTTTGTTTTTTTTCGATGTTTTGATCCTTAGGATTATAATCAAAACCAACCCAGAGTAAGCCAAATCTGATTCTTTTACATCAAAAATTATTGCTAAATTTGCTACATCTGATACTGATTCAGCTAAGGCATTTACCAAATGTATCCTTTACCATGAAAATTTCAAGAGATTCTTTGAGGTGGTGTTCCTTTCCAAGGCATCTGATGGCTTCTGACTAAAAGGATCACATAGCCATGGTATAGATGGCCCATTTATAGATGGTTTACCTATTAAAAATGGTGAGTTTCATGAAAAATAACCAGATGGTATCACATTCTTTTCCACAAAAATGGTATTACTTTCAAACATCAAGGACAACTGAGACAATTTTTTTTGGTGATCGAAGCCTTTCCTTCAAATGAATGGGATGCATTTCCAAAGGAAAAGACAAGGATTTTTCCAAGAAATGATGCTATTTGCCAAATACACTCTTCTTGGAATTTGCCACATTTTGAACCTAATGACTACTAACTGTTCTGCAGGAGTGCAGTTTGCAGCTGTTTTTCTGTGTTTTTCTCTGGCTCAGGCCTCCTTTAAAATATCACCCTTCATGACTCATGACCATTTCCGGATCCAGCACCAACAGTTGCCCCTCCCAAAACGAAAAATCTCTGTCAGATGGTCCAATCCCAGCTTTGATGGTGAAAAATCCCTACTGCTTGGTGGTTGAGCCACCTACCCCTCTGAAAAATGATGGACAACTCGTCAGTTGGGATGATTTTCCATTCCCAACTGAATGGAAAGTCTAATCAAATTCCATGGTTCCAAAGCAGCAACCAGTGATTATAAGCCATTATATGTGGGGATAACCATAAATAACCCATTCATATAGGGGATTTATTAATAAAGGTTAAAAAAAACACCAACCAGTGCCAGTTTGATGGTGAAAAATTCTCCGCAGGTTTTATTTCCAGGCCTGCTTCCCCTCTCCAAGAAGTGGACGGCCGTGGGGCGACACAAGCTGAACTCCAGCGAGGTTAACAACGTGGCCTGCGCGAAAAAAAAACATACAGGACACAAAATACATGGGAGTTTATATGTTTTGTAGTGGGATATCATTAGGATTTTAAGGATTTGAATGGGATGTCATGTCGATTTAACTTGATGTTAACATAATTCGGAGATCTTCTGGCTATTAAACGTAGCGAACTGGAAAATGACAATTTTAAGTTCTGTAAATCATCAGTTATATCATCGAACTAAAATTGCGCCGTTTTCCATAGCTATGTTAAATAACCAGAGAATGTATAAATGGGATATCATTGGGATTTGCAGTAATTATTATGGGATATCTTCGAGGCATTTGGCAGAATTCAGGCGATGAAAAGACATGAGACAAACCCGAAGCTGGAAGCTTCTCGAGATTACTCAGTACCCCCTCCCAACATCCACCTTTACCTGTCGCTTAAATCTACGAATGTTGCATTTTCACTGGTCTTGATCAACACAACTGGGTACCCTCTGGTAAACTAACATAGCTATGGAAAATCACCACTTTTTATGGGAAAATCCACTATTTCTATGGCCATTTTCAATAGCATTCTGCCATCATCTGTCTATCTGCCATTGGGCGACAACCAAAAACCATCCAAAGCCAGTTTAATAACTGTGCTGTGAATCACCGCTGGTCACCGGTGTAGCATATTTTACCCTCTGGTGATTTAACAGTTTGCCATGGAAGGATCCACCCATTTTTAAGTTCGGTAAACCATCTATTTCTATGGGCCATCTATACCATGGCTATGTTAAATAACCAGAGGGTATACTCATGGCCTCAAATAAAAAGCCATGGTCAAATCCATGTTGACCAAAAATCAGCTACGCAACAACTCAGCTACCTTCCAAGGCCTCCATGGCGAGAATGTCCTGCTTGTTGCAAACCTGACAACCAATGATCTTCGGCCCAAAAGCGGTGGGCTTGCTTGATTCTGGTAGGTTTCGACAGTATACCGAGTGTACACCTTTGATTCTTGATTTCTTACGGTCAATGCTGTTGAATCATATCCGTTCTTGTTTTTCTTCAAATGGAGAGACTCCGAAAGCATAGCTTTCCCCAGTCTACTGATCATTCCGGGAGAGTTCACTCTCGCGGTCTCCTTTATTGAAGGGAACTTTGACAGATATCATAAGAAATAGCTATCTGTTGGCACGTTTCTACATACAACATCCACTTCATGTGTGCAAAAAGATAGGTATATATGTCCAACGTATGTTTTTGTCATTTCCAATTCCTCATTTTTACACTCATCATTGGTAGATCAATCATTTGAACTACAGTATTTATATTTGGTATCCTTAATCCCATTGTTTTATCAACGTTAAATTTTCGAACATTATTGAACTATATCAGACGTCAAGCCTGGATGAATCAACCCCGTTTTCGGCTGTAAACAATTGGGGGGTACCATTTAAATATTACCCTCTGGCTATTTAACATAGCCATGGAAAATGGCCCATTTATAGATGGTTTACCTATTAAAAATTGTGATTTTCCATGGCTATGTTAAATAACCAGAGGGTAGATTCAAAGATATTCTAACTAGTTGGGGAGTAAGCCCATTAAGAAACCAATGGTCCATGCTTTGCCCCCGATCAACCGTCGGAAGATGTGATCCATAGATAGCTTAAGTATTGAAGCGAAGCAACCTTGCCTACCCTCTGGTAAACTAACATAGCTATTGAAAATCACCATTTTTAATAGGTAAATCAAATAAACTGGCAATGTTCAATAGCTATGTTAAATTACCAGAGGGTACCAGATAGTAAACTGGCAAGTGGATGAAATTGGCGAATATGCGAGTGTCTCACCCACCTTTCAACTCGCAATTCCTAGCCACATGCATTCGGTTTGCTGCCTCGTTCGTCATGTTCACAAAGTCTTTCACATTGGGCGGTTCGATTTCCTCGAGAGGTTTGGACATGGGCGATACATGGCAATACCCTGCGGCCCACACCTTTTTTTGTACTTAAGGTCAAATGGGGGGTTCCATCAATGGGGATACCCCAATAGCTGGATGGTTTACCCTCCGGTAATTTAACATAGCTATTGAAAATGACCATTTATAGATATTTATAGTTGATTTTCCCATTAAAAATGGTGATTTTCCATAGTTATGTTAGTTTACCAGAGGGTACCCCAATAGCTGGATGGTTGAATTTATAATGGAAAAACCGAAAAAAACCAATCTAAAATGGATGGCTGGGGATACCCCCATGACGAATCGGAAACCTCCAAATACTCACTGCAAGTCAGAAACCCTAAAACGTCGTTTTGTGCAACCAAATAAGCCCCTATCGTCTAGACATACAGCATCAAGATGGATGCTTGAAATTTCTGCAAAGCGGAAAACCATGTTGAGTAGAGTGGATAGGGAAAACCATATCTCTTCAGTTTCAGAAGGGATCCGCAGTTACAGATTTGAGCTACAGATTTGATGCTTTGAAATTTTGACAAACACGAAGCAGCTGCCGATCCTGCCTTGAAGGTTTTTGTCTTTAGACTTGTTAGGTTCCATGGACTGTTTACTTATTGAAGATAAATTTGAATAAATTTGGTGGTTTCTGGAAGATCGGTTTCCCACAAGGTTGCCGTTGTGGATTCAAACAGGCTACCCGTTGTCTCACAACAGACCATTGATGTAAAAAGTAGAAGGTACCAGAAATCCGACAGACCATCCCTGCAAAGAATGACGAAACAGCTCACACTGGAGTGGAATCGTTGCATTTTCTGCAGGATGCCATTGCTATTGTAGTCAAGTGATGTCAAGTGCACTTTGGGGAAAGACTTGAGAAGGGGTGAGTACTGTACTTTCCAGGTCTTGAACCAAGTGGGGTTCAATGAATTGGAAGTCATGGTTTCCTTCCTGAAACATGTGTGGGTTTCCCATCATTTTTTCCTTCATGGGACATGCAAAATAGAGGGACTTTACGAGCCTAACTGTTTAGGAGATTTTAGGGTTTAACGGTTTAACAGAAAAATTGAAGAAGACCCCAAAATTCAATGCTGTATCATCATGTTCACCATTGAAAAAAAACAAGTTTTAGAGAAAGTAATCCTCATGTTTGGGGGCAACTCAAACAAACTCGGCATGCTTTGAGACCATGTATTTTCAGTTTTTTTTTGCATGGGGTGCCAATATCAAGAACGCCGGCAGTATATCATTCTACATTGCCAACACATATTTGGTCAAATGGGCTTACCCGCATCACCAAATTCTATCCTTTATACTACGTATAGTTGTAGTTGGTTTTAAAATGTGATAAACCATGTGATAACCCATCAACAGTAACGACAGGCACAGGTGTCACGTCGTCTCCTCAAACTTTGCCGCCACAAAAAGGCTGCAGACCACTGCCAGCTGCAGCTGCACCTGATTCACCTCTCAGCTAGCCATGGCCAGTAACGTACAGGTTTACTGGGGGTTTGTACTGTGATTTTTTTTAGGGGATATAACATGATATAACTATGGTGAATGGGTTTATAAACCAACCTAATATGTTATAATACAATATAATAAGTAATTATCCCTTCCCCCTCATATTTCGCACACAAACGACACATGGTGTAGTAGGGGGATTTACACATCTTTGGGACGACAAAAAATGGGGGTCTGGAGCACCAAAAAATGACCCGGAGATCTCTGGTGCCCATGTATCATGTTTTTCGATACACGCAAGTAAGGAACATGTCAATTTCTTCCCCCTAATATTAAACACCTAGATAGCCTAGAAACTATGGTTTTTGGTAGGGATGTTCCACATATTTAAGGGACCATTTATTAAATTTTTTGGGTGTTTCATATTAGGAGTAGGATTCATCCTCTGATCACTCGGATCATGGACTCAAAGAACATAGACCTACCATTGGAGCGTCTCAGGCCTCGTTCAGCTTTAAGAAACTGTCCAACAAACTCACCGCTAAGAACAGTGTCTCGGTCCTGCAAGGGCGCTTTCCTTATTTACGCAACGTGGCTGTGATATCACAAGTGGAACTAATTAGAATCATCTTACAATCAACATGGTATACGCTAATCATATTCCATGGAAAACCCGAAATAGATGGACAAGTTTCCAAGCAAAAAGAAACTTTTACGACCTTCTGGAGAGCCTTGTCTATCTTTCTGGGGAACTCTATGATCAAGTACTAGTAATCTTCTAAAGCAATTCTCAACTTATAAAGATTTATAAAGTACTTTATGTACTTTTGAAGTGCCCAGAAGAAAAAAAACATGGAACACTGATTCAGCACTGCTGCAATAAGGTTTTACCTATCTTTTTTTCAGGTGATATACACAGAGAGAGATTGAATAAAATCACTGTCTTCCGGTCCATATAGCTGAACCAAACAAAATTCTCAGCCACTGTCCATGGAACCTGCTGAATATGGCATGGCCTGATTCTTGGCTTTTCATCATTATAAAGAAGGTGAGAAAAAAAAATAAGGTTTACTGGGGTTTTATACTGTGAGTAAAATAAGGTGTTCATCTTGGGGGATTCTTAGCGTTTTTCAGGTGAGTATAGAAACATTGGAATGTCCGACCGATGTTGTGCATCCGGCATCCCCAACTGTTCAAACGCCCGTCCTCAGACCGTAAAGCACCTGCACCTGCCAAGCCGGGAGGGGAAAATCCCCGGATTTTCCACCAGTGAATCATCAGGTTCCCCATTGAAAGTGCGAAACAATGGAAGGAAATTACATGCACTGTAAATACCCCATTTTCAGGAAAACCATGAAGGGTTTTACCATGACATTTTTTGGGATTTATCGGCCGAAGTTTCCTTGGAACTAAGTCAGTGGAAATGTAAAAAAAAGCACAATCACCTTCAAAATAGATACGATAAAATGGTAGTGATGGTAGTGATGGTAGTGATGGTAGTGATGGTAGTGATGGTAGTGATTGAAAATAGTCAGGCATGTCCAGCATTTTGCTCCTGCCTGCATGTTGGCATGATTAGTATATATCTAAGGGCGTGTCCAGACAATGTCTGCCAAAAGTCCTGCAAACTTGTTGCAGAAACACCAAAGTGAATGCAAAACATATGCTTTGTCATACCTTCTACTGGATGCTCCAGTCATCTTGCACTCTTTCTATTGTTTGATTCAAAACCCCGGAAAATTGGACATTTCAAGAAGATTTGGCTATGCCCAGACACGTCCCTGTCATGTTTTCTTTACAAAGGCAGCCAGGAATGTTCTTTGCCAAGGACATAGCAACTTTCACGTAGTATTGAACGTTTTTAGAAAAGTCAGGAGCGTCATGTCCAGAACGTAGTAGTATGACCCTTGTTCTCCCACCCCACCCCCCCAACCCCAAGAATAGCGCAAGAAAAGTCGAGCGTCATGTCCAGAACGTAGTACTATGAACGTTATTAGCCCACCCCACCCCACCCCCCAACCACAAAAACTGACGTACGTGGGGGAGTAAAACTGCGCGTTTACGGGACGACCGAGCCACCAACAATGGCCCATCCTGGTTGGTCAATAGGGATTCCTTGAATAAATTGTGATAATCCACCATTTATATATATGTTGGGTATCCATTTATAATACGTTGGGTATCCACAAGTTTTGATAATCCACCATTTATATCAATTTATACTATGTTGGGTATTTAAAATCCCATCGTTTTCCAATGGGAAGAACCCTCGGAACCGTTGCCACTTCGGCTGTCGCCTCAACCATCCAGTCCACCGCGGTGGCGCGTTCGCGTTCCCAGAGTCGTCCCAACTGCCGGTTGCGCATTTCGGAAGTCGGGCAACTCTTCGAGACCTATGGGTTTTTAACATACGACCGTTGGTCAAAATGTCTAGATTCACACGAATTATACTCACATTACCATTTTTAAAGATATATTCTAATACATCAATGATATATCATGATATAGTATGATATCTTATTTTATATAATTATGATATATTACTGGTGGGTGGTATACTTACCCCTCTGATAAATATGAGTTCGTCAGTTGGGAATATTATTCCCAATAAATGGAAAAATAAAAAATGTTCCAAACCAACAACCAGTATATATCAACAACTAGTACAAAACTTCTATCAACTATTTTTGGCATCTGGAAAAATGAAACTGAAGTTCAAAGACTTGGGACATAATTGGGACGTCAATGGGTTTGACCAATCAAATCACTTTAAAATTGAACAGAATGCGATTGAACAACCCAACTTCGAGAACTTGACCATCCCAAATCGAGACTTTGCCAGAAAAAAATCACCACCAAGTCACCAAGTCACATGACTGAGCAGCGGCTCCCATGAAATGGACTATGATCATATTCTTTAAATTTGGGGGGGTTGTAATAACAAGCAAAAATATGCAAAAATCATCAACCAAAATTCGGCTTCTTCAGTGTTCCTGCCCGTTTGGATGCCCCAAAACGAACCGTCCCTTTCTGCTCTCGGCAGCGAGACGCTGATTGCAAGGTGGGGAAGCGTTCCATCACATGAGGGACCCCAGTGCCACCTGGAACTGGTGAGTCATGCCAGTTTCGTCGTTGAACGTCAACAAATAGCAACAAATAGCAACAAAGCATGCAACAAAGCAATCCCCCCAAGTCAGGATAGAAACAGAACACTCAACTAAAATTGTGATGATTGTGACTTTTCGCATCTTTTCGGGTTTTTTTTGGGGCTTACTAACCATGGAAATCCATGGTTGTTTCCCCAGAAAACGATCTGCGGTTGGATTTTCAGGGGATTTTCCATATCGATAGTTGGTTCAAAAAGCCAAGAGATTTGATCTGGGTCCGTGTTCAAACCTAGAAAAACCTATCTTCAGATCCTGTCTGACAGTATCTGGTGGTCTACATTAAGATCAAATTTGATCAAAAAGCTTTCTCTGAAATGGGATATCCCCAATCCCAATGAATTACCATGAATTACCTTCATTTTCCCTTTGTTGAAATGGCCAGAATTGCGTTCACTACCCCATTGTCATTTCTAAACCCGTATGGATCAAACTAGGACGGAAGATTGAGGCCGGCCATCTTCAATAAATTGGATCAAAAGGAGCTTATTGCAGGCTCATAGCTATAGCTATAGAAATGTATGTTTATATATAACACATATTGCAAATATGTCATTCATTTTATATAATATGATAAGTATTGCTTGTACGATTGCAACGCCTTGAAAATTTGAAACAAACATCATGGAACATCAGCATGAATTTCCAGTGATTCTCTGAAGCTGGGGTCACCATGGGTCACCCATAAGCTCCGAAGGAACCCCCAATTTGTTCACAAACATAGCGTGAAATGCTAGATGAGGGTCACCCCACGACGTCATTGACATCGGGAATCCCTCTTCCAATGCAAGGCTCTGTCAGCCTGTTCCTGGGGCCTGCTGACAATTGCAAAAATTTGGCGGAATACATATTCTTGTGTCTGAACATGAATGAAAATGAGGTATCTCCCCAATCTATGGTCATTTTAGAGAAAATCAGCAGATTTAGCTAGTTTTGGGGGACAATGCCGTGAGGTAAACCGTAAACCCATGGAATCCCACGGTTTTGCTACTTGGTTCATGGGGGGAACCTCAAAAACGTATCAAAAGGTCATGAGATCAATTGTAAGATAAAAGTCTCAAAATATCTCAAAATCATTGGTTTCCCTGTATGACATGACAAACTGTGGACGATTTTTTGGCGTCCTCCTCAATTTTTCGGACACCCGAAATATCTGTATATCATTGCCGACCGAAATGATCTCCCCATTAGAGCAAGAGATTTGACCCGGTGAGCCGGAATCAACCACCCTGTGTGAAAGGCCATATGGTGAAATCTACATTATTTCAGAAGCTTTGCTGCTTTGGTGACAGCAAATGAATTGGACACACAAGACTACACCATCAGGTTTAAAACGGTATATACAAATATGTATAAGCGTCCACGAGTGTCCATGGTTTTTCCGTCATGAGCCCTCCCTTTTGAAAGCTTTGAGGAACCTTTACTGACAGAAGCCAGAAGGAATTAACGGGAGCCAAACAGCACGTTGCATAAACCACAAATTGGGCTCCGCACCAGTACAGGTCGTTTCACGGTCTGTCTGGCGGGTGTTTGTTTTTTTCATCACACTAAGGTCAGAACACTTTGGTTCTTGCCGACGGACCGGCTTGAAAGGAGCGATTCGCATTGTCTGAGGAAGTTGCGGGGTTGTTGAGAGTCTCATGACCAAACCACATCAACAAGAAATTTAAAAGTAAAACGGGTGATATGTATTGATATGTTATGTTTGTCTGTTCATGATTCATCTCCATGATTTTGCATGCCCTTGTTGCCTCAAAAAAAGGGAGGCGCTCCAAGCTAATCCGCCCCATCTCTGCCAAGAAATGGCTAACTAACTAACTGGGATCAGGAGTGAAGATCGTCCACCTAAACAGGCTAAGATCAAAACGGATCAAACCTCCAAAGTTCATGATGATAGGGAGGGTAATCTGATACACTCCAAACAAACCTAAACAAACCTGAAAGGAATGTGGTAGGAGGGATAAAGTATAACAATTATTGGGGGAGTACCTGCTCAGCTAAAGAGCAACACTGGGTTGTGCTGGTAATCCCTTCTGATCATATGAAATACCTAGGAAGCCTTGATTTCATGTTGTATCATGAAGAAGTCATGTGTATATAACTCCGGCTCATATCATATTCAAAGTGAAGAAGTCATATGAGTCATATGAGGAGTTCCTAAAATATGGGTACCCCAAACCATTGGCTTTCCCATTGATAAGAACCAATTTTGGATGATATCAGGTCGCACCACTTTTCGGTCCTGTGTCTGAAAATGGGGGACACCTTCAATTTTATGGCAACTTTAATGAAAACAATGATGATTGATCATGATTTTTGGGCATAGCAACCCCCCCAAAATCCAAATGGAAAAGCAAAGTCATCCGCCACTGAGTCACTTGCATTTGATCAATCTCTGGGGATTGCTGTACCCTCTTCGCAGCCAATTCTGAGGGGTCCAGGCGCAAAGGTCAAGTTACTGGTGCTTGGGTGTATAGATGCCCTCCATTGGTGGTGGTCACTGGCGCTTCCTCCTAGTGCCAGACGGAAATGATGTTTCGATGGTGGCCATCCTTGGGTTTGTGTGTCCTTTGTTTAGATTTTATCAGCCCTTGGTTCACTCGTCTTGGAAAGAATAAACGGCATAAATCAGCATAATGTCAACCCCATAGGACTGAATCCTGGCCATTAATTGGGGGTTACCCTAACATAGTGATAATCTACTATCATTTACTATCAAAATTGGTACCTCCTGTTAAACAGTTCAGTTGAAAAGCTCAGACCCTAAACAAAAACCCAGATTCTTCGTCTCTTGCAGTACGACATTGCAGAAAAATGAGTTGGGAATTGACAAGTATCAACAATGAAAATACAAATGATATATCAAACAATAAGTAAGTGACAACTCCATGTTGTTATTGTTTTTGCTTCGGCACTCCTTAAATAGTGGAGACAACAGAAATTGGCGGACTTGGATCCGACTCCTCAAAACCTCTGGACAACCTCTTTCCCATGGTGATCAAGACAAGGAAACCTCAGCACTGACCGAACTTAGCAGATTTGGGCTTGTCTGATCAGCGGCTGATGGATATGAAGGAGCCTGTTTACTCTGAACTGATGATCATGAAGGAAAGAAACCATATTTCAGTTTGCAACTGTATCTTGGACGGCAATCCTCCGCCAGTTCTCAGATTTTCCAGGGAGAAACAAATCACCACCGTCATGATGATCATCGAATCACAGGTGCCATGGTCAAATATGGTATATACTGGGTATACCCTCTGGTAAACTAACATAACTATGGAAAATCACCATTGTTAATGGGAAAACTCACTATAAATGGCCATGTTCAATAGCTATGTTAAATTACCAGAGGGTAGTCATCCCACAATCATTGGTGATTCCAAACAGAATGTGTACATTAACCTCTCTGAAAACTTTATTAAGGGAACGACCATCCCCTTTTATGGGAAAATCATGCTATATAATTCACTATATATATATATATCATCAAACATTGGTTGTAGCTGATTATCCCAACACATATGGATGTGGGTCAAAATGGAAGACCGATGTGGGACCACAGATGTGAATGTCTAGTTTAGTATTAACCATCCAATTATTGGGGTACCTAATTTTGACCCATACCCATATTCCCATTTGTATATCATTGAATCTGCATTTCTTATGGGAACATATTGCGCACGGTCAGTGCTGCGACTTCACAAAATTGGCGACCTTGCACCGTCGCGGTGATCGGTGATCTTCCGTCGAGCCAATGGGATCAATGGGATCCACCGTCCATCCCTATGCTCCACATATTTCTGTTTGATCTTGCTGAATCCCCATATTTTTCAAAAAATGTTTCTTGGTGTTAATATGGTTTAATCTGTTTTAATTAAATGTTAATCCAAAAATTTTGGGCAAAAAAGGGCTAAAAATCGCTACAGTATGATACCCTCCCTATGGTGGTCCCCAGTCCCATCGCCAGTCCCAGCTACTACAGGCGCCGAGACCAAAGGATGTAAGCAGCTCGGTGATGCGATGGCTTTCCACCTTGGTAACTCACCGTAACTCATGGGCCATGTTGCATGGCTATGTTATATGATAGGAGGGTTTACATATATATATATAAGAAATGTAGAATGAGGTAGATGTATATTACATAAATCATGTATGTATATATATATATATATATAGAGTGACGGACTGAAACTTAGAAT